ACCCTCGGAAACCCTGTACAGGGTCGCTATGGGTCCGAACCGACTCAACGGCACTTAACAACAACATATATTCTGGCATCAGGATTAGAGGAAGACTCATTAACAACCTGTGATATGCAGATAATACAACCTTGCTTGCTTAAAGTGAAGAGGACTTAAAACATTTACTGATGAAGATCAAAGAGCACAGCCTTAGGTATGGACTACATCTCAATGTAAAGAAAACAAAAATCCTCACCATTGGACCAATAAGCAACATTCTTAACAATGGAGAAAAGATTGAAGTTGTCAAGGACTTCATTCTTTTGGATCAACTATCAACACTCATGGAAGCAGCAGCCAAGAAATCAAATGACGTATTGCATTAGGCAAATCTGCTACACAAGATCTTTTTAAAATGTGAAAGAGCAAAGATGTCAGTGTGAGGACTAAGGTGCACCTGACCCAAACCATGGTACTTTCAGTAACCTCAGATGCATGCAAAAGCTGAACAGTAAATAAGGAAGATTATAGAAGAATTGATGCATTTGAGTTATGGTATTGGAAGAGAATATTGAAAGTGCCATGGGCTGCCAAAAGAACCAACATATCCGCATTGGAAGAAGTGCAGCCAGAGTGCTTCTTGGAGGCCAAGATGGCCAAACTTTGTCTCTCATACTTCGGACATATTGTCAGCAGGGACTAGTAGCTGGAGAAGGATATCATGTTTGGTAAGGTGGAGGGTCAGAGAAAAAGAGGAAGACCCCCCAACGACATGGATTGGCCAAGTAGCAGCATTGGTGGACTCAAGTGTGGCAGCAATAGTGAGATTGGCCCAGGGTCGGGCAGTGTTTTGTTCTGCTGTGCATAAGGTCGCTATGAGTTGGTACCAACTCGATGGTACCTAACAACAACAACCTCTCTACCACAGCATAACTTTCTAATAATACAGCCCCTAACTTTCTAGTATTTTAAAATGCTTAAAACATCCAGTTCTGGAAAATAAAGTCATTTTTCTGATTTAAAACAAAAATAGACTTTGATATAAGTTATCAAGTGCTTCTTTATATCCCAACCATAGTATATAGGCAGCCCCCTGGTTATGAATGAAATTGACTCCTAACTCTGTCTTTAAGTCAGAGTTGTAGGTAAGTTAGAACTGGTACATGTCATTTTTATTTAGCCTTACTTTTATTCAAGAAAAGACTCTCAAAGGCTTTTCACAGATTTAAAAGCTGCACATGCAGCTAGTGAAGGTGATTGTGATGAAGAATTTGTGAGCAGGAGCCGGGGCAATCATTTCAAAGTGAGGGCACATTTACATAACATGAAAGGATAACTCTGAGTTAAGCCAGACATTAATAACCTAGAGAGCTACTGTAGTCACCATACAAACTCCTTCAATGACTGAGAGAAACAAGATTAGCTGAACTTCGTAACACTTTTGGACAATGTTTACCACCTATCAATACGACAACTTACTGTGACTTACACTTAATTCTTTCACCCTTTTTGCATCGCCTATTAGCCAGGAAAGATACAAGCTGCTTCTTCATGCCCTCTTTTGTCTTCTTCACGAGTGGGGTCTGCTCTGCAGAATTTTTACATCCTGTTCTTCCCTGAGACATAATTTGAACCACAGAACACTCTTCCACATCTGCAACAATTCTCTTGTGCCTTCTTTTCCCTCACAGAAATGCAGGCAAGTTGGAATTATCTATTTGCACATGATCATGTTGCTTTGTGAAGTTTCCCGTGACAGTTTTCTCGTCAGCTTGCTTTCACATCTTTACTTATTTGTAATTTTTTTTCCTTCTTGTGATAAAAATTATTCTCTCCTTCCACTTCATTTCTGATCAATACTTTAAAAAATAAAGCAACAGTTTCCTTGGTAACAGCTATACACCCAATGCAATAT